AAATTATTTTAATGTATTGATATTAAAAATAATTTTTTAAAAATAAAATAAAAATTATTAATATATATTTTAATATTAAAAATTATTTTAAAAGCAATCGCAACTACATTTTAAAACAAACTTACTGTTTTTACAAGAATTTCATGAAAAATAAAATATGCAGGCCATGTTAATTTTATTTTTCAAAAATATTTGAAGTGTAAAACCAAAATTCATTGCATGTTTTTAATAAAATAAATCTATAGTTATATGTGGATTAACATATATGATTTTATTAGGCTGTATCAAGATGTTTATTTATTTATATTTAATTAGATGTTGAAATATTTTTTAATCAAAATAATAATTTATACTATACTAAGATAAAATTAAATTGCATTTCTCCAATCTAAACTTGAATTTCTTATTAATTTATATACGACTATGTTAAAGAAAAACATGTATTATTGTTTTCTAAATACAAACTTATCATGATCTTAAGAGTAAATTAATAAACACTAAAATAAAGTCTTTGTATTTCATATATGATTGAAGATAGAAAAAATGATAAAATAATACAAATGATTTATTAAAAAATAAAAAATAAATATTAACTTAATTTAATATTCATGTTGTTTTTTTAATATCAAATATATAATAACCAAAAAAATATATTAAATTTATGATAAAAATCTATAATAATATTTGAAAACTATAAAAAAATTAAATAATAATTAAAATATATAGCTTGACACTAGGCCCAACAACATAGGACCAAACAAGGTGGGCATGTGATACAAGCCTTATAAGTGTTCTTCTTTTTTTTCATTCTTTGTTCATTTTCAATCAATTAAAAGTCAACAAAAAAGCTCTTTTTAATTTTTTAGCCTAAAAACACCTTAAAAAACATTATAATAGCTTTAATAAACTTGTTTGTGGTTTTAAATTAGCATCTACTCATTTTAAAAATTAAAAATTAACTTAAATTCAAAAAACTTTATTGGTCGACAACATTAACATCTAAAAATATTTTAATGAAACTCTTTTTACCTATTAAAATTTATTTGATATCAAAATCAGTTTTTTTATCTCTAGAATGTGAAGAATTGATGACTTTCTTTTTCATTTATCAGCAAGTCTCTTTTTTCTCCTTTAAATTCATAGACTAAAAATAAATAAAATAAATTTTTAAATTAAAATTATAAAAACTAAGAAAAACTTAAAGGAGGAGAAAAAAGAAATACAATGGACTAAAAGGAGAGCTAACACCAAGAAATGTTTTGAGCTTGCGGTACTTTCATCGCACATTCTTTAGAGTGTTTTTCCCTTTCTATATACGGGCAGGGTTATCATTGATCTCCATCTCCCCCCTCATCAATTGGAATTACTCTACACTAACAGATAGCATTTAGCTCCCCTCGAGGTAGGGATAACATAACACATCATGTCTGTGAAATTTTAAGACATTGGTGGTTTGGATTTCTTCATGGAGAAAAAATAACTATTTGATCATTTCTTTCATCAAGAAATTAGAAATGACTCAGTAAAAGAAGGATCATATCTACATCAAAAGTTTTGTGCCTAGTACTTGAAAGCAATTTCTTTATATCCTCTTCAACAATAAACTCAGGATTCTTAAACTGTAAATGTATTTGCATGCTTATATTAGAAGTTCTTACCCAACAATGCCAGCATTTTGGTTACTTTTCAGAGCAGGTCAGATGACACCAACAAAAGTCAGTCAAAGTAAACAGAATAATACGAGGTAAACCTTGCATGATGCCACTAGTATTTTGGTTTCCTACGAGAATGGTAAGAGAAACATGGTTGGTGCTGGCAACGGGTTCATCTAAAGAAGACACCTGAATAGAATGATTGGGAAAACAATGGATGCAGCTCTCTAAAGAAACAAGTTTTACGGTGAAATTCATGTAAAAAAAAGGAACTAGAAATCAGAATCCACTCCTATAAATGATACAGGAAGCGCCTATTTCACAGGCTTTTCTCTAAAGGGTTCAGATATCATGCATTTTTATTATTCGTTTGCACAACCAGCACAACCAAGAGGCTAATTTTAAACGTTAAGGGAAGCAACAACAGAATCTCTATCTTTTAACAAAATTGAAAGGGCAACAATAATTAGTCCTTATAGCACAAGCAACAACAAGCATATATTGAGAACATTATTGCTTGAATGTATTAGTCCTATAAAGCATCAGCAATCAATGGGTAGGAGGATTTATCACTTACTTCTGTCGTTTCATCCATCTTTTTACACACGTATATAAAGTAAGAATCTGGATCTTCCAAAACAAAATCTGCTGGAAGTACACCAGTGTAAAAAATAGAAACAGGTTCCAAATGCGAGTTTGATAAGTGACACGACTAAATGATTGATATCTTCTCCCAAGTGCAGGAATGTCAAAATAATAAATAACCCGACAAGATCGGGATCGGACCACAGGGAGGTTAATTGTATAAATTATAAATAACAATAATATAACAACAATAATAATAGTAATAATAATAACAACAATAATATTAGTTTCATAGATTTGACACATAATGTTTTCAACAGATTTTAATTGACCACTCTTTTTCAATTCTAGTGCCTCGACTTTTCTAACTAAAGAT